TGCTACTTATATTGACAATGATAATAAAAAGCATTGGAGCACAATATAAAATAATAAAAAACTAATTTTTGAGAATTTTCAAATTCTTGAAAAATTGGACTTTTATCAAAAATTATATTTTTCTATGTTTTGAAAATTTTGATTTTTTTCTCAAAGAATTAGCGCTGCTGTTTTAGAGACGAGTTAAACATTATAAATGTTGATATGCAACCCATAGAAATATGAATAATATTTTTGATTATTGTTAAAATATCTATAAAATATCTGATAATTTCATGCAAATGTCTAATTTTGGACCGCAATTTTTTTACTTTTTTCATTAGATCTTCAAACCGCCTTTCAAAAAAATTTAATCAAATCTAACGGATAAACATTGTTACGGAACCCATAAGAATGTAAACAAAATTTATACTTATTATTAAAATCTCTGTAAAATATCTAATAATTTGATGTGCATAGGTCTAATGATCATTTTTGACCGCTAAATGGATTTATTTTTACTTTTTTCACTAGATCTCCGAAACCGCTAGACCTGCCTTCATGAAAATTTGATCAATTCTTCATATTGTCAATACAAGTTTTTTTTAATTATTAAAATCGGACGCTCCGTTCTCTTAAAAACCGAGTTACCATTTTAGCACTTTTTGCCCCGTATCTTCGAAATGGCTAGACCTGCTTTCGCCAAAAACTAATCAGCATGTCTCCTTATCAATAGGAACCGAATGTTTTTTGAATTATTCAAATTGCTTCATCCGTGTTCCCGAAATCGTCGACGAAAATTTGTATCCGCACACACATACATACACGCACACACACACACACATATATCCATTTTTTCTAAGGTATGCCAAAATGTTCAGAAGGTTTTGAAACGTAAAGATATATAAAAATTTTCATTTTCGATTTTTTTGCGATTACTATAACTTGCCCTACGGGAAGTTAATTATATGGCTTTAATTTTTTTCTATGCACATTTTCAATCGAATCTATTGTTTTTAATTTAATTCTATTAACTTAAAGATTTAATTAGTACCATCAAATGTCGATTTAGACCTCTATCAATGCAATTTGTCTGCCCTGTTCCACGCATTCGTTGCTTTTATTTGTGCCTGAGTCAACGTAGCAATTGGATGCGTTCGAAGTCCATTCAATTCGGTGGAAAGCGAAATGCACTCACAGACACTATTTAGAAAACAATACAAGGTTCGCTTGCACTTGCGTTCCGTATCGAACGAAATAAGTCAGACAGTCGCCATTAATTCATATTATTACACCACCGCCTACAAAATGGATAATAAAAGACGCCAGACAAATCGACAAATGCCCATTGCGTTTATTGCTATGCAATTAGAATTATTTGACTAACTAAATGACCTGCATTATCGTATGCAGACAAAAAATTCTAAGCTGCTTATTTCATATGGATATGGATCGTCCATTAGTAGATCTTTTATATAAGGATCTTTGTATTCTTTATTATATTTTGTTAATAAAATCTTGTGGTCGAGATCAAAAATAATTAAATGATTTGAATTAACATTGCAGATTAAGTTCATTTACAACACCATTAAATTTAGAAAATATATTAATTAATATTAAATTGCAACGTCTAAATTTTTTTTCTATTAAAATGCTTTTTAGACTTACCTTAGGGTAAGTTTTAGTGATGCAAAAATTGAAAATGAAAATATTTGCAATCTTCCCGTTTCAAAGCTTCTGAGCATTTTCTTGGAAAAAAAGCGATATCTGTGTACGTATGCATTTATGTATGTATATATGTATGTGCGGATACAAATTTTCGACGACAATTTCGATAGCACGGATCAACCGATTTGAATGATTCAAAAGACATTCGATTCCTACAAATTGGGAGACCCGCTGATTATATTTTGACAAAGGCAGGTCCAACCGTTTCGGATGAAACTAACAATGGCAATTCTGTTTTTGATAGAACGCAGAGTTCTATGATTCAAAAGTATTAGTAGTAAACTTGTATTGACGGAACAAAGAATTGATTAAATTTTTGGGAAGGTAGGTCTAGCGGTTTCGGAGATCCATAAAAAAAGTTTTAAAAAATCCATTTGGCTGTCAAAAATGATCATTAGGCATATGCACATCAAACTTTTAGATATTTTATAGAGATTTACTGATAAGTACAATATTAATATTTGATTATTATAAGATTTATAACTTATATAGCCCTCGATATATCAACTGACTTGAATATGTTTCGAAATTTTCAAAAAGATTTTTTTTTATTTATTACTGTGCAGGAAGTTCTAGCAAATTGCTTCAAGATGCAATGCCAAGCACCCCTAGTTGCATTTTTAATTGCAAGATGAATACACAAAAATAATTAAGCAATCAATTTTTTTTTTTTTTGCTTCAAGGCACGATGCCAAGCACCACTAGTTGCATTTTTAATTGGAAGATGTATACATAAAAATAATTAAGCAATCAATTATTTTTTTTTGCTGATATACTTTATCTACAATGTATTGATTATTATTAAATCTAATTGCTGCCGTCCATCAGGCCGCGAATATGCGTACGGTCACCCCGCAATGTGCAAATGACTTAAACGCGAATTGCCTGCGAGGCTTGTTCGCCAGATTCCAAGATTGTGCGGCTATAAATACATGACCAAGGCCACAATCAAAGTGATTTCGCTGGTTTAAATGGCAACACTGCAGTAATAGTAACAATAATCCCTCATTGCCCGGGCTTATCGGGGGTTGCTTGTTGTTACTATGTCATCGAACCGAACGGTAAAAGGGGCGAATTTGTTGAGCGATAGCGCGCATGCGTCTATTATAGGGTGTGCCGCGCCAAAATTTTATGTTTTATTTTCAGGAATGTTTTAAAACGATTACGCGAAGTTATGCGCTTTGTCTCTATGTCACAATAATACGCAGTAGCTTATACGAGATATCAATAATTAAAATGATGACCATATGCATAATGTTTTACTCGAATATGGCGTGTCCATCTATGCATTCTGCATTCTTGACGATCGCGCCGCGATGGTGTTGGACCGAGAGCTAGTGAAACTTTTGAATCCTGTAAAGCTAATTTTTTTTTACTGGCGATTTATAGCGTGCTAAGTACGGAAACGATAACCTGGTAGGTATGTGCTCTATACATCATCATGGTCGCCCAGGCCACTTGATTCATTCATTGAAAAATTAAAAAAATTAATTGTGAAACCATTTCAACCTGTACAAGTACCTGCCAGATGAGCAATACAGATGAAACTTTTTATAAATCATTCAAATCAGATGCTGCGTTATCTCAAAAACTGACTCACCATTTTTGGCACTTTTCGCCCCGTATCTTTGGAATTATTGCCAAGAAAATGCCACATGGAGGTCAACATAATTATTGACTCTGTTTTGACTCTGTTTTATTCAGCAATCAGAAATACATAAAAAATCCTATAAGCTAAATCTGTGAATCTAAATTTATTTTTCTCATATATTTAAAAATTTAATAACTTCGTAAAATTATAAGAATAACAATTGTTTCAAAAAGAAAACTGAAAGTCTACATAACCTATACAAAAATTTAAGTATATAGATAAATTTACATGTCACAATGAAAAAAAAATAGTATTTATTTGTTGTGATATAATTAGTTTGGTTTTTGCAATATAATTGCTCAAAAACTAATTCGATCTTTGTGCCCCAATTAGATGTATTAGATGAATTAGATATACAATTTAAAATTTTACAATTAAATAACAAAACAACCAAATATAAAATACGAATAAAGGAGTGCTAAACTAATTTAATTTTGAGTCTTTATTAGACATATGCACATCAAATTATCAGATATTTTATAAAGATTTTAATAATAAGTACAAATTTTGTTTATATTTCTATGGGTTTTGTACCAATTTTTATCTGTTAGACCGTGACGCATCGCTTACGCGCTTCAATATTTTTTTGTCTCTAAAACAGGTACGCAGCGCGATTGCTTTTAAAAAAAGTTCAAAAAGTTAAAAAAACACATTTTCGAAAAAGTTTTTATTTTCAAAAAATTTAAAATTTTCATAAATCTAAATTTCTCAAAGTTTTTAAAATACAGTAAGATTATCCGGACATAATCGCGTCGGAACTTGCATATTTTACTAGTAGTTTTATATATATTCATTAATAATACATTCTCTGTTTTGACGTGCATATATGCATTTTTAAAGGGTGGTGTTATCCCCTTAAGATAAAATAAATATTATCGAATCATTAAAAAAGACGAAACAGGCCGTAAGTTAGCTGATAGGTATGGTGTAGGTACATCCACTATATGCGATATTTTACAAAAACGATCAACAAATTATTCGTAAGCAACTTTTCTTTTTCATTGATACTTTACGTACCACCTGAATATTTTACCTCATGATTAATATTATATGTATAATGTAATCTAATTGTAAAAAATATGTAAGTGTTAATTTTCTAATAAACATCGATTTTTGTTGATATCTATGTATGCATTTGTTATTTTTGATAAACAAAACATTATTCTTCATAATTTGTATTATCCGGATTTTCGATTATCCGGATGCCTATCGACAACAATTAGTCCGGTTAATCGAGGTTCTACTGTATAAGGTTTAAAAAAAAGGTTTAAAAAAAAAACTTTTTTCAGTACGGGAAGTTCCAGCAATTTGCCTTAAGACACGATGCTATGCACCACTAGTAACACTTTTAAATGTCTGGACAAAAATGTTGTTATAAATAAATAAATAGATGTGCAGGACTGAGACCTGCCAGACCATCATTTTCGTACTTAGCACGCTAAGAATCACTTGTACAAAAGCTTTTATCCTTATTCAAAAGGATCACTAGCCGTCGGCCTACGTTGAGTGCGCTTTCCCAACAACCCGTCGCGGCTTGGGTGCGGCTCGGCTGCGTTGCCCGGCAACGAGATCGTAGCGGAGGTTCCCGAACGCATTCGAAGCCACGGAGAGGGTACGCTGAAAGAGCTCGGGCGCAGAAAGACCGTGACGATACTACAAACAGTAAAACCGGCACGCAGTTCGCATTGTGCTCTAGTAGCGTTAACGTTGGTTTTCCGTAACGTATTATATATACAAGTGTGTGGATTAATTAAATATTTACAATGGCAACTGAAGTGGTAAACAACGTGCAAGTCACCGAGAAGGATGTCAAAGAGGAGTTGCCCGAGAAAAAAATTGAAGAAGAAGCCCCGGCCACAGAGAAATCTGAAAAGGCCGACGAGGCTCCGGCTTCCAAGACCGAGCCTGCACCACCGAAGGTGCTCGTGCATAAAACAAACTTCGAAAAGGATACCGTGTATCTTTACCAATTCTCCAGAACTCCTCTTTTGCCATCGATGTCGCCGTACTGCTTGAAAGTGGAGACCTGGTTGCGTTTGGCAGGAATCAAATACGAGGTTAGTGCGAATTTGTATCTAAATCAGTGTTTCCCAACCTTTTTTGGGCCCCGCCCCACCTTGAGGTTTATAAAAACGTCATGCCCCCCCATACAATTTTTTTTTGTTTCTGAAACAATGTGAATGATAACTTTTAACATGAAATCGCTATTAAATTGTTATTAAAAATCACAAGTAAAATTTCGGAATAAGCCAACAAACGGAAATTTCAAACTAATTTTATTACTGTTTATTCGAAATTTATTTTACGCAATACTTAAGCTAAAATAAAGATTCTATATTAGGTTGTAACTTACTAAACTTTTTCTTTTTTTCAATAAATTATAGCAAATTTTTGTACATATTAGGTTGTCAAATATCTCCCTTCCGCTTTTTTGCTCTTGGTTTATAATACAAAAAGGCGGAAGGAAGATATTTGACAACCTTATATGATTACATTTGGGCATTTGGTTTCATTTTCTTAACTAAGAACGGATTTATATCAAATTTTTTTTTTGTTAAATCTTTTTGGCAACTAAGTAAGAGCGCATATTTTTCTAGAAATTGGTAGTTATCGTTAGCAACTAAGTAAGTGTGCGGTTTTGTTAGAAAATCAAAGACAATTTTTGCGAGAAATTAAATAACTTTGTTCTGTATACCATTTTGATCGATGACCTTTTGTTATTTTCCAAGAAGCATCGTTATAAAACTTCTGGTTTTTATTAGCAAAAATTGAATTTGGCACAATTTGACGCCAGGCATGTTTTTTTTTTAAATTCAAGGGTTTTAAATCAGATGGTTTAGGGTCAGGAAAATTTGGTGGATGCGGAGAAAAAAATCAACCAACCCCTTCGCAATTAACTTTAGTATTAAATATCACTTTTCTTGTGCATATTTCAAGTCGAGTCTTGTCACTGACCTTAAAGCAGTCAGAAACTTGATTTAGCTAATTTTTTGGTAATTTTCGTAAATTGGAATATAGAAGTTTGAAATAGTTAGTGAAGGGCTGCTGGAACCGAAAGCAATGTTGCATTCCGCAACATTCTCTTTCATAATGTTTTTGTTAGTTTTATATGAAGTTTATTGCATATATCATTTTCAGATTATAATGGGTAGTTGCAATTTTATTATAAAGTAATGAGAAAAATTCAAAATCAAGCTAATTTTTTAAAAAAGTCAAGTCAATCCGGCACCAGGAAAGCAAGGTTGAAAACTAAAACCGTTCCGGCTAAACCGGGACACCTTATTATTCTAAATCTAAAAAGCATTTTTTGTGAAATGTTTTACCGATACTATACTACATTAAAATAAAATCACCAAACTTTTCAAGTGCGCCCCACTTTGAGAAACACTGATCTAAATCGTATTATATTTTGACCGGCTTCCGAAACCGGTCCCGTTGACGGGCATAGTTCGCGACACCCCCGCGCGCTTCTCTCTGTAGCTGATGAAGAGTGCCCGAATACGCGCTTTCTGCGAGACAGAAAGGGACGGTGCGATCAGGGTTGTTGGCCTCCCTTGCGCTTCCAAACGGTCCGGCCATCTTTGCTCGGAGGAGAATTCAATTCGAAATTCGTTCGTTCTTCGGCTGATATAATAGTCCAGTCATTTGGTGCAAAAAAAGGCTATTGCCGGTACAGTACTCCGGGAATTCTGAAAATTGGTATTAATCTTATAGATTTCGAGGTGCTCTTTACGAAAATCAACTTTGCCACCTCAAATTTGAACGGCAAGTTGCCGCCATATCGGAAAAATGGCGTCAAAAAACAGCTTTTTCAAAATAACTCCACTCTGGCTCATTCTACGATAAAAGTATCTATGTACGAATTAAACTAGATAAAATTTCCTACAATTCTTCAGAAAACCGTTTTTTGTAAAATTGATAGTTTGAGAGTACGGCCGCCTCAAAGTCTTTGCTGCTCTCGCCGTAGTATCAAATCTCTCCATATATGACAGCACTTTGAACTTGACCACATTCTTTCTAATAAATAAATATTTTCAATGTTAAATTAAGAGAATAAGATCTAGAAATAAAATAATTGGTTTAACAAAATAAAAGATATTGAATAAACTATAGAAAGCTTTCTCTAGTTTAATTTTGCTTATAGCTACTTTGCTATTGAAGTGTTAAAAAATCAGCAAAAAACAGAAAAATATTTGAATTATTTTATTTCTAGATCTTATTCTCTTAATTTAACATTGAAAATATTTATTTATTAGAAAGAATGTGGTCAAGTTCAAAGTGTTGTCATATATGGAGAGATTTGATACTGCGGCGAGAGCAGCAAAGACTTTGAGGCGGCCGTACTCTCAAACTATCAATTTTACAAAAAAAAACGGTTTTCTGAAGAATTGTAGAAAATTTTATCTAGTTTAATTGCTGTTTTTTGACGCCATTTTTCCGATATGGCGGCAACTTGCCGTTCAAATTTGAGGTGGCAAAGTTGATTTTCGTAAAGAGCACCTCGAAATCTATAAGATTACCAATTTTAAGAATTCCCGGAGTACTGTACCGGCAAAACGACCAAATGACTGGACTATAATACCAAGCCACTTTTTTCTTGCAAATGTGCTTCTCTTGAATGTTCTTTCGGTTTCTTGCGTCGATACATGTGCGTGCGGACAAATTCTTCCTCTTTATTGCATGCCAGAGGATTAACAGGGATGAATGTGGTAGTGTGAAATATGACGCTGTTCTAGGAATTTTGTCACATAAATCCTCAATATTTTTTATTAGAGAATTGCGTCGTAATCAGCTAAACCAATACCATAATTTTCAAAAAAAAAATCGGGATTGTGATAAATTTATAAAAATGAGCTTTTGAAATTTAAATTGAATTTGTTCTAATAAGAATTTGGTCTCATGAATCCTACTTTAGTACTTAATATTAATAATAATAACAGTTAAACCAATACCATAATTTTTAAAGTGATAAATTTATAAAAATATGAACATTTAAAATTTAAATTCATTTTTTTTAGTAATTTTGTCACAAATCCTATACGTTTTTCATATATTTTTCACTAGAGATATACATTGTAATCAGTTAAACCAATACACATCAATACACAATCTTCAAAGTTTTTGTCTGGCTTTAATTTATAAAAATTTGAGGTTTTGAAATTTAAATTGAACTTATTTTAGAAATGTTGACACATAAATCCTATGTGCTTTTAATAATTTTCTTATTAGAGAATTACGTTGTAAACAGTTGAATGAATATTATATTTTCAAAGAAACTTATAAAAAATTGAGCTTTTAAAATTTAAACTGAATTTGTTCTAGGAATTGTGACATTTTCAATATTTTTTTTACAGACAGACATAGTATTCCCCTAGCATAATTTCAATGATTATCTGGTTTATGATAAATTATTAAAAATTTTATTTGAATTTTATAATAAACGATTAAAAAATTTATATGCATGTTCTTCTGGGTCAATTGTTAACATATTTTATCTCTTAAACATTTACAATGAATTATTATATTATCAAATCAAGAATTTTAATCATCATAATTTACAGATATTTTATCTAATATATACTGAACTTTTAAATTTAACCCTTAAATTTTATTGCTTTCAATTTTTTTAAACGTTAACGATATGAATTTCTGATTTATATGCGTTTTCAATATTTTTTGAATAGTGAATTACATTTCAAACAGTTAAATCAAACTATAATTGACAAAGATTTTTTCTGGATTGTGCTAAAAATTTGAACTTTTAAAATTTAAATTGGATTTTATAATAAACGTCAAAAAATATAATTATTCACATCTTCTTGCTTTTGTTCATGATGTTAAAATATTATAATATTAATGAATTAAATAATATTATTAATTAATATAATATTTAATAATATAATAATTTTAAAATATTTTTTATAAATTTCTAATGAATTATTATATAACCTAACTTTTTAATCATCATAATTAATAGTTATTTTATCTAACGTCAACCCTTTATTAATTTTCACATTCCTCCATATTCCAAAACTTGCATCAAAGATAGTTTTCAATTTCATTTAGTATTGACAATCATAATTTTTATTTTAATATACAGTATAATTAAAAATAGTATATTATAATTTAAAAAATTTATAAAATTATCATTTGTAACCCATCCAGAATGTAAGTTTGGCAACGCGCATTCTTTTACCTACCTAAAAGCTCCACATAGGGTTTCGCAGACTCAAGTCAGGTATCAATAAACATTGCAGGACGGTTTCAGTAATAATTCTAAAGGAATGTTGTCCTATAAATCTACGATGTGGAATTATATATTACGGCAAAGCAATCATTGATTCTATCGAAATGTGCGTTGCAAATAAAAGATTCCAACAGAACTTCAAAGAGTTAATAATAGTAGCTACGGATGGAGTTTTTAGTGGTGATAAAATATCTGAACCCAATTTTTTGTGGACAGTATAAATATTCTTCTTTTATGTATCTATTGATTTTTAAGTCAAAATATTTTTTTACAAAATTTATTTATTTAACATTATATTAATTTGCAATTATTTAAAAAATATCTTTAAAAATCTCTTCTAATGATTAAAATACCCAGTTTTACTTCTAGTTCTATTTGTTTAATATAATGAACTTTATAGATGATTTGATTTCATATCTTACATTTTTCATTATAATTCTGATTAATCATTCATCAAAAATGCAATTGTTTTTCGAAAATATGCTTACAATAATTTCTTATCTATAAATTGAAAGAATTTCTCAGTACTCGAAGCCACTTAAAATGATGAAGCATGTTCTAGGAAAATATTTTTCCTCGAATAGAGAATTAGTTGATTCATGAATAAAGTATTTTTATTTAATAGCCTAACAGTAATATATTTGATACTAAATTAGGTATCATTAGAATATTTTGAAAACTTCAAGTATTTAATTAAAAATTTAAAATGAATTTTAATATTACTTTTTAATGACTAACAAATTTTATCATATATTATTCTTCAAATTATTACCTAATTATTACTTATCTTCCCATTTCTTTTTAACTGAT